AGAGCAAGTAGTAGCATCCCATTTAGCATTTATTGTTGCCAGTGCCAGTCCATGTCGTTTAACATATGATTTTTTGATACTAGTCTTATATAACTATATTGTAGTGAAACAAATCTGGATTATGTCAATACTTTAATTCTAGGTTTGATAGGGTTAAATCCATGCAATTGGGTATCGCTGTGAATTTCAATTGTTTCATATGATCTTTATAATTACAGGGAATGTGCAACTCTTAACCTACTCACCATTGTCAGTATGGACATCTGTTCTTTTTCCTGAGTGATTCCAGCAAGGGTTTCTTGAGGTGTTGTTCTGACATACATATTTTTTATCAGTTGCCCCTGTGAACATGACCAGTTCAAGGAAATTCAGTTAATCCAATTATGCTAAATTGAAGGTATGCAGGACAGATCCAGCTAAGCAAGGCAAGGCAATGCAAGTTTATTTATATAGCACATTTCAGTACTAAGACAATTCAAAATGCTGAATATTCTGATAAAACCCACATGGAAAGTTACATTGCAAGCCAACAGTGATTAAAAAATAACAAAAGTAATTATACCAAAATAATAATGCAAGAGGAAAAGTGTCATGATCTTGGCACGAGTGAATGGATTATTAATTTCTTCCACCTCCTTAGCTCTGCCCAGTTTTCATTTGCTCTCATCTGATCCACCTGTTCCAGCTCATATTAAAGCTTCCTGTTTCCAGCCATCAGTGCCAGATTATCTGAGCCGAGGGTGAGAGTTCTCTAGCGTACCCTATTGTGTTTTGATTACCTGATCCTGACCTGTTTCTGCCTCCGGACTCCTGAGATTGGCTTGCCCATGATCCAGTCCGTTTCTGCCTGTTGCTGTGTTCTGACTGCTGTTTGGATTCTAACTGTTAATGACCTTGGATCTGTGTCCTGACCCTGACCTGGTTTGCCTTTTTTTGTACAAGTGCTTTAAAAGTCAGGACCAAGATTTTAAAGTTAAGGGGAAAAAGGACTGGGAGCCAATGGAGAGATCAAAATTTGGGTAATTTTGTTTTTTCTCTTGGTGTGTGTCAGCACCCTAGTTGCTGTATTTTGGACCATCTGCAGACAGGACAGCTCTTTTTTATTTAGACAAGAAAAAAGACTGTTACAATAGCCAAAATGAGAAGAAACAAAAGCACTCATAATCACCTCTAGATAATCTTTGGAAACAAATCTTCTGGTTGGAAAAAACATTTTCTTGTGAGCTGCTTTGAGTGATGCTCAAGGGACATCTTTCTATCAAAGATAATGCCAAGATTTCTGGAATTGATTTAAGAAGTCACCAAACTACTGGTTGATCTCTGGAATGACATGGTCAGGATAATTTGCATTATCTTTAACTATTCCCTATGGAACAATCAGAGTTAATAATCGATTACCAACAAGTTCACTGATTTCTGAATAAGCAAACATTTTTTAAATATTTACCCAATAATATTTTATTTACCTAATTGGATTTATGTTGTGGGATGGTTTGAACACATTCCAATGGCTTTAAATTAGTTAACAGCTAATTTGACCTCATTCCAAAAGATAAACTGATGCTCAAACATAAAATCCATGTAAAATAGAGGTATTACTGTACCATTTTTTTTATCATAGTTTATAACCATTTTTCCTTCCTTTAGGGCGAAAAAAAAAATCTTGGGGAGTGGCGGCCTAATGGTTAGCTTGGAATCCTGAGGTTTTGAGTTTGAGCCCTACTCCCACAGACTGACACTCTGTACCCCTGAGCAAAGACCCTTAACTCCACACTGATCCTAGGACAATGGCACCCCACTGCTCCCCAAGAAGATGGATTAAATGCAGAGTGAGAATTCCGTAGCTCTGTACTTGTGACAATGTAATGACAATAAAAAAGCTGAAAAAAAGATATAGTACTGACCCCTTGAAATAACTATGAATTAACGTCCATGTACCACTTAAGCTGGGAATACACTGTGTGATTCTTTCACGCAGCTACACCTCAAACTGTATGACAAAACCGCAGGGTTTAAAATTTCACAGCTCACGATGCATGTTCTCACACTGTGCTGCCCTTCGCTCTGATGCGACCTTTCAACAGCCGATTGAATTTTAAACATGTTTGATTTTTTTTCCCCGAATAGTGATTTGATTTATTTCTTAAATACTGGGTCCTCTAAGTCATGACAGATTATTCTGGCGAAACATGGACCAAATGGCAGATAAACATTTGCGTGCTGAGGTTATACAATGTATTTCTTGACTCGAGTCAGGCAAGAGATTCTAGATTACCTGCGTTGTCAGGCTATTTCGGCGTCTACTTCTCCTGCTGTCAGAAGCCGTGTCTGTCTCCCCCTGAGGTATTTAAGGGTGATTTGGATCATTTTCGGGCATTTCTGACCCCCGACCAGCCTTGTCTAGGTTGTTTTGTTTTGGTTAATTTCTTTAAAGGCTTTTAGAGCCCAGGAGGGCGTCTAGAATACACCTTTATGACTGGAGCTCTATCATGAACTTGGTGCGGATGACTGGCCGGATCACTTATTTCATTCACCTGCTTAACTCTACCCAGTTTCTTATTTCTGTTCATTTGATTCACCTGCTCCTGCTTCTATTTAACCAGCCGTCTAACTAACTAACTAGTCAATGATTAGCCAGATTATTCTTGAGTCAGTGGTAAGCCAGTGGTAAGAGTTACCTTAGTGTTTCTGATTACCTGATCCTGACCTGTTCTGCCTCTCAACCACTGTGCCTGCCTGTTCCTTTCTGATCTGTTTGTCTGACCTGTCTTTGGACACTCACTGGATTCTTCCTGTTTACTGAATTTGGAACTGATTCACCATCCTGGTTTTCCTTTTGGAACCTCTTAGGACTTCTAAACTACTGGTTCTGAATCCAGAGCATGTCCTCGATACCGGCTTCGGCTTCGCGCTCTGGATTTTCCTACCTTCCTTTGTCTTCTCGGATCTGATCTCCTGCTTGTTCACTGTCCTCTGGGACTACAGCGTCTCGGACTCGCTGATGGGTCGTGTTGGCAGCCGTCCGGCTGGAATCAACTTTGTTCTATAAACTATAAAACCAGAAGTTCCTTGCTGTTACTGCAGATCCGCCAATTTTAACGCCACTTGAATTATCTGACTGTCTGCAAACACCAAACCTTAAATACTGCATATTTGCACCATATATATTAATGTTCTGAACTTCCATATCAATGCATTTTTTGCATGAGGTTTTTTTTTCTCTCACACTGCTTGCATTTGATCACTGCTGCAATTTCTTGAATGGAAATCTTAATTTGTTGTCTGAAAAGCTAAACAAAATGTTATTTTGTATACACTCTGCGTATACAAAAAAACAATGAAAAGTTGTCTAAATATAAAGTCTAAGTCTGTCTGTCTTGTATACTGGGTCCCCTGTTCTGAGCCTTGACACGTTTACTGTAGACTCCTCGTCCAACATAGGTTACCAATAAAGGACACCAAACAAGACCCTGCGGAAGAATAAGCTGTTTGACATTGTTTGAAAGGATATCACAAGTTTTTAATGGGTGCAACAACTATGCTTTTTAACACACAAATACATTATATATCTTAACTCTCTGGTATTAAATGGGAAATAAACAGGCTTTGTAAAGGTAAGAGACTTATTGCCAAAAGGTATGCAAAAGGTTGCAGCAAAAAATAATTAACATAAAAGGGTCAGTTTGAAATATGAAAGTAGAGACATAAAGTGACATTGCTTTATTTTCCTTAAAGTAAATAGAAAATGTCTAAGAACAATCAGTCACCAGCTTCATGGCTGTAAGCATGTGTAACCTGTCTGAACCACATGTGATGGTATGTGTGTGGATTCTGTATGTCTTAGGGAGTCTAAAGAATCTGTGTAAACTATATGTGTGATGTATAGTGAGCTGGTAGAGAGAGATGTTAAAGGATCATTTTTGCCTGTGCCAGCAGTTTCAGAGAATGATGGAGGGAGAAAAAATGGAGGAGAAGGGAGGGGAGGGAGGAAAAGAGAGCAGGAGAGGCAGAGAAATACCAGTAAACAGGTGCCAGCTCTATTAGCACCTTTTATCTTATGCGCCTGTTTTCTGGGGACTTTACAGAATAACTGGTGCATACATATTTCTTTACAAATAAACCCTCTTTATACAACTGATTGTGTTCCATTTAACTAAATGAATATGATTTAAGGAACAAAATGAGGCAAACAGTTTATTCACAAATACCACTTTCTAAGAGATGCGAAACAGCCCGTTATTGCTCCTGCTTCACTCTAAAAGAAACATGCACACTGCAGCACCAGCCTTGCATGGGCACTGATCCTGTCTGCTGCAACGCTGAACGTTTGCAAGGGAGGTGGAGAGGTGGGGGGGGAGCTCAATGAGAGAGTGGGGAGTAAACCGGTAGCACCTTTCATGCATGTTTTGGATTTTGTGTTTTAATCCTAAGGCATCCTGTTGTGTATTTGTGTGTGATTGGCTGAGGTGATGATGGGATCCCTGCACAGCCCAGCGAGCGATCCTACACAGATGGACACACAGCAGGTCTATGAGATACTGGGAAATTAAATACAGAAAAAGGAAACAAAATCAATGCAGCATGAGAAGGGAACGCTGACTTTGATTCAAAGCTGCTCGTGCAATTTGCCAACTGTCAGTTCATCCCTGTGCAATCTTTGTGGATGTGGAGAGTGGCAGGAGGATCGAAGCCATTTTACAGGATGAGGGGAAGAGATGTAAAGAAGGAAAGTAGCTATAAAAGAAGAAAAACCTATATGTGCAATGTTCTATACCCCCTCTGTCTTTGGATTAATGAAGGAGGGAGACCTGAGAGAAAAGAAACTGAGCACAGAAAGTGAGATAGGAAGAGTGTGCAAGTAAGGGAGAGGGAGGGAGAGGAAGAGAGCAGCGCTGCAGTAGCATCCCACAGCAGACGGCTGAAGACCGCTGCTTTGTGTGTGTGACTGCACTGCTGAAGAGGAGGAGGAGGCAGAGGGTGAGCACGCTCACAGACTCTGCAGGGCCAAAGAGGAACAACAGTAGGCAGCAGTGCTAGTGTTGGCCCGCATCAGGTAGGAGACCCAGTGCCCGTCCCCTCTGCAAGACCAGTGTAACAAGATCTGGACGCTCCAACACTGCAGAGACCTACACCAACAACAACAGCATCATGGCACAAGCAGCCAAACATCTCCGCAAGAACAAGGATTTAGAAGCCCAGTTGGAGAAGGAGGAAAAGGAGAAGGAGGAGGAGAGACTGAGAAAGAGGAGTCGCTCCAGGGATAAAAAGCGCAAGGTACTGGGACCATTCACAGGTGGGGGTAAGGTAGGGGTGGGGTGACCGGAGGGAAGGATGGCAAAGAGGGTTGAGACAACCCTAACGCTTTCTCTGTCATGCTATGTCAGGGGGTGCCAGGGCACACATGGGAACCCTGTTCTGAGTGTGTTTCCACTGTGTGTACACTGAAACACATGTATGTCCTGTGCATACAGACACGAGGGAACGGTAGATCACTCTGCATGCTGTCCTACTCCTAACTGCTTTATTGACTGTTCTTTCTCAGTTGTCTCAATACATTTTCTACCCTCTTTTCTTTCTTTGTCTTCACATTGCAGTACAAATTATTTTTTTCCCACCAGGACAATAAGCTTGCTTGACTCTGCAACAGACCCTCTCTCCCCCACTTTTTTTTTCTCAGTGAAGAATTGTAATGACTGCAGAGCAATAACCTGCAGGCTTCTGTCTGACTGAGAAGTACCGGGCAGAGCCGAACAACTGGCAAGGTTCGTTGTGGCAATAAATCTCCCCTCTCAGATCATCAGGTCTGCTACTTTTCTCTGGATGCTCGTTGCTTTTCACTGAAACTCATTAATGAAAATGAGTCATCCGCAGATTGTGTATTGGTGGGAAAACCGGTCGTCGGTCCAGCCGTCCTGTTAGTGTGTTGTTTTCCAGGCTAGCTGTAAACCAATCTGCCCTGATGCAGTAGAGACAGCATTATGGACAGAAGCACAGCACAGCTTCATCGTTCCCACAGTGGGGAGGCTGGGCTCACAGGACACTTTAAGAACTATATTGGGTATATTTGATCGAAATCTTTTACACAAATAGAAAGTGAAAAAGAAAAGTTGTTATTCATCTGTCACACATAGACTGACTTTTGTTATAGCTTTCCATATCTTTTTTATTTCTTTTTGAGGAAAACTAGATATGATGATGAGCCGCATACCATCATTCTTTGTTTTACTCTGGTGAGACGTCAATCCCAAGTTAAGCTTACATTGTTTTTTCTTTAACTCCATTTTCTTTGAAAGACAGATCTCATCAACCTTTTATTTCTAAAAGCTAGTGCAGATATGCGTGTGTGTGTGTGTGTGTGTGTGTATTGCATGTCTGAAAGAGAGCATACTGGGCATATCTGGAAGAAGAGGTTCAGGCAGGGAAAGCCTGCTGCTTTTACAGTATGAATGAGGGTGCGATGCGAGTGCTGTGGAGGGTGCAATGGCAGTCCAGCTTCGACTTAAAGTGTATGGTGTTTGATTTTACCATCTCTTATCTCTTACGTAACCATGCAGCTTGAGTCTGTGAAAAGCGGCCCCCTCCTTCAGTTCTTTTTCATAACCTCTCCTCCTCATCTTCCTTTTTTTAAACACTGGCTTATAGCCATTCCTGGTTTCTGGAGCAGATCTTAATACTGGAGGGATTCTTTCTGTCACTCATTGTTTCCTTATTGGTGCCTTCTGCTCATTCTGCGGGCTGTAATTCACACTTTGACTGTTATTACTGGAGAATAAAAAAATTAAAAAAATCTACCTACAGTCTACCATATTGACACCTTTTCTGTTTGGTTAGTTGATCTTTGATATTTATCCTTAAGTTCACTGTCAGCAGATTACCAGTAAAGGCAAGGATTCATTTTTTATTGAGACAGAAAATTCTTAATTTAATCTAAATTTATATACATTCCTGGTAATAAATAAGGACTTACTTTATTACCACGAATGAGCAAAAGTACTTTGTTATATTGTGGTTTGTCTCTGCAAATTAAAGAATTACAGGTTAAAGATAAAAAACAGCCAATTATTGCAGTTAATCAAATTAAAAGAGAGTTCTGTACTGTACCCTCAATCATAAAATCATAAAATCCCCATCCCTTGTGAATGAAATAACTTAGTGGAGACCCTTTTTTAACCATTCTCTAAAATTGGTCTAAGGGAGGTTTGCTCCACCCCAAACCTTGAGCTGCGAGACTTTAAGGGGTTTGTTGCATCTTATCTGCTTTGGCTCTCCAGGACTTTCCCGTTTCTTAGTTCTTAGCAAGTTCTTGGTGGAATTACATTTTGGGCCATACTCACAGACCAGATTTACTTAATTTTTTGTGTGTTTGTTTCTTTACTAATGGTTAAAAATTTTCCTCACCTGATCCATTGAAGATGTTATGGTGGGTATGATGATGGTGAGTTGATCATCACATCCTCAAACCATGACACATTACTTCCTGGGATGTTGTGATTACCTTACACCAAACTAGTGTTCTGATGTCCACATTATGTCATTTTTGAATGATCCCTTCAAAGCACATTATAGCAGATTTTTTTTTTGTCCAGGACTTTTTCTGGCAAACTGTACTCTGGCCCGTTGTGTCTCTCCTAGAGTACCTACTCTTCTGATACCTTTGAACTGCAATCAAACTTAAGCAGTTATTTTTTTAATTACACAGATATATACTTTCATATCATAGTAGCAATGGCCTGTGTCTTTGCTTTTAGCGTCTTGCACTATCTCCAAGTGAACACAATTGGATGGCCAGAACCTGGTGTTTTGGCTGTTGCTTTGAATTAACTCTGCTTGTGTGGTTTTGGTATTTCTTTGGTTTGTTTCTTATTTTCTAAACTGAAGGGCAGACATTTCATTAATTTAGGATCCTATTGGTTCAATCACCAGAGTAAAAGAGCTTTCTTGAAGCCCCAGGCAGCTCTTTCCATCTTAGTATGTATGGTGTTTAGGGCAGGAGTACACCAAGCTAAGGTTTAAACAGGACAAATCTTCATAATACTACGTATTTGTGTCCTAATGTGAAAACGTAGCAATTTTAGGTAAGCAAAGTTTTCTTCTTTTATATTACTTAAAATAATTTTAGAGGTGTAAAATATTACTATATATTACATTTAAGTTTTTTTTTTTACTTGAAACTCCCCTAGACTGATGTACAAAGCTAATTTACAAATACATAAAGGATGCCTCCGAAAGAATACTACTGACCAGCTGAGCCACAAAGTTTAACATTTATTGGTTTGTCTGACTGTTATGTGAGCTTTTTTGTAAATCACATATTCTATCCCAAACTAGCAAATTGGGGAGGGTGGGAGGGATTTGGTAATAAATCCCTGTTTGTGGGCGACAGTGGCGTTGGATGGAGGAGTTTGCCCTGTAATCGAAGGGTTGACGGTTCAAGCCCCGACTCCGACTTTCATTGTCGTTGTGTCCTTGGGCAAGACACTTCACCTGCATTGTCTACTGATGGTGGTCAGAGGGCCCGGTGGCGCCAGTGTACGGCAGCCTCGCTTCTGTCAGTGAGCCCCAGGGCAGCTGTGGCTACAATGTAGCTTGCCACCATCAGTGTGTGAGTGTGTGTGTGAATGGGTGAATGAATGTAGTGTAAAGCGCTTTGGTCAAGTCTCCTAACTTGAATAAAGGCGCTATATAAGTACATGCCATTTACCATTTACCAATACAAAAAAAAAAAAAAAAAAAAAAAATTATTTTGGTTATGTTTTATTGTATTAGTCTATATATCTGGCATGGTTTTGGTTCTGTTCAAGTTTTCTTTTTAAGTTTTCATTGGTTTTATTTAAATTTTAAACTTATTCTAGTTGTTTTTGTTTGTATTTTTGTTTCCATGTATTTGTTGTTTACCCTCTGTTGCCCTCTGGTGTCAATCTCCTTCTGCTAGCTCCCTTCTAGGTTGTTCTGTCCACACCTGCTCCCAATCTGCTGATTAGCCTAGTCTTTTTTTCAGTCTCCCATTTATACTCCTTCTGTTCAGTTACTGCTGGCTGGTCCCTCGTTGTTTCTTTGCTCCTAATTCTAATTATGGTTTTCTCTATTTTGTTTGTGGACCTTAGCTTCAGTTGCCACCTTTTGCTTATTAAATCTACAAGAAACCACCTCAGCTTCTTTCTTTGGATTTGGGTCCTCTGGAAACGTTAACAAAACCTATAAGTACTTTTTGGTTTTTAAGGCGACTATTCCCTGCTTCCTATGCAGCAAATATACATTGATGTTCCATATGGCTGTTTAGAGCACATAAATCTTGTTCTAAAGATGAATTAAACCTACAATTCCTCATGAATGGGTGAAAGTAGTTTTAATTGGCTTCATAGTGTTGTGACACTGTGCAGCATAGGTCAAATGCTGAGCAGTGGACAATGTTGTCCTCAAATTACTTTCATTGATGAGTTTGCTCCTTCTGAAAAATGAGCTTGTCAGGATTTGAACAACGCCCATATTGTCCTGGTCAGCATACATTTTTAGCTCCTTTTGGATGAGCTTTGTGTCCATGAGCCACAATGCGTCGGGATGACTTTTGGACAGTGACCAAGAAGTGGGGCCTTGCTGTAATCTTTTCATCAGCATTAAATATAAAAATGTAAAAAACTTCATATCTGTGGTTTTATTTACTATTTTAGTGTTTGAAAAACAGATTATTTAAGCTTGGCTTAAGATCTTTTAAGATCTTAAATCTAGTTGATAGTTACAGTTCTATTTTGACCTGAAAGCAAGCAATTATTTTTTTGTTTAATTCATTATGGCTAAAGTTTTATGGTAAAGTTTACCTCCATGGTGAAAATGCATAAACATATTAATAAGCCTTTGCTGATTTTAAGTTGGTGTTCCTTTGCTTAAAAAAAGAAATCAATAAATCAATGTAAAGGGCTAAAAACAAGCTTGGCAAGTTTAGCCTCTTCCCATTTCCCTTTATTGTTAATTCAAAATTAAAGTTATCTGTCTGAAATGGAGCAAATTAGTTTTTAGGTTGGTGCTGGGTTAAACTTAATGACCCCACCAGGAAGAGTGGTGTGAAGGTATTTCTGAAAGCTTATACTGTTTGAAGTTACATATTTTAATGGGTTTACAGTTTTTGCCCTATTGTAGAACTGCAGTGTTAGGATTGTTACCATGATTTTTTAGGTCATTGAATATGATTCCATGCTGCTGCGGTTTATGGGTTCAATTTAAAATATCAAACATGGTCTAATTTTTGGTTCTCTCATTTTTTTATTTCTTAACAATTC